CAGAGTTGCACCGCATCTCGTGTGGATCTTCAATCTTGTGGGTTGTGTTGTATCCATGGCTTAAATGTATGCACCATCATCATACCAAGAGTTCTTGAACTGTTCTGAAAGAAGCACGCAAGGGACAAACTCGAAAAGACCGGCTATTATCTGTTCGGACGTGCTCCAAAAAATCCCGGGGCGCGAGTCTAGGGTGGGGTCACGCAACAATTACCGCCCACGTGTGGGATGTCCTAGAAAAATGGGTTTGAACGGTAACATTTAAGAGATAAGATTACGCATGCCTTCCCGCCTGGTCTACAAAGAGACACAAGAGCTCAGCAAATTAGGCAAGGAGGGGCACGGAGAATCGGCTCTGTGAGTTTTGATTTCATTTGGCCAATGCAGACATCCCTCCAGAACTCGGCCTCGTTCCCCTTCGTGGAAAATTGCTCAGAAGCATCTCTGTGTTTTCATGTGGGCCAAAAGTCCACCTGGGAGATGGATCCTCTCGACCAGCCACTTGATTGAAAGAAAGAAAAATAGATTCTGGGGATGGTGGAAGTCGCTTCGAGTGGCGTGTGAGCGGGTCAAACTTTTGACGGGGACGGACGTAATGCCCGGTGGGAACGAACGGTGCCCGGTCTCCGGAGCCGTGGTCTAGTCTAATGATCGCAAGATCCCCCATCTCATGTACCCTTCCCGGCGTATCGAAGGACTGACCGACCGCAATCAGCGAACTCCCTCCCTCTCTCCTTCCCTCCCTCTCTCCCCCCCCTTCTCCCCCTCCCTCCTTCGGCCCCCTTGCAAAAAAAGAGCGCTCCCGCTGCCGGCGGCGCCATCGGCGGCGGCGGCCAGAAACCTAGGCAGGGAGCTACGAGGACGATGTCGACGATGATGGGGTCTTTGGACCCCCTGGTGGTGGCGGGGGTGGCGGTGTACGTGGCCACGGCCTACGCCTTCTGGGGAATCTTCCGGGAATACTTCGACTGGACTGAATCGTTGGCCATTTCATTCAAGGTGTCTTTTAAGCCTCGAAAAAATCTGAAGTTCCGTTTTTTGTGTGAGCCCGGTGAAGAACTCCTACGCCACAACGTTTGTATGTAGCGGCCATTCGTATGTAGCACATGAGGGGAGCTAAGAACCTCAGCCTCGACAAAGATTATTGGAGGTTCTTGAGTAGGGGAACTGTCTGGACTCAACCCGAAATACAGCTGACATATCCTTGTTTTGCGACGACAGCAAGACTTCCTCGTAGTCGTGAAGGGCGCGGCTGGACTACGGTATGCCGTCCGGAGATGAGTAGAGAGACAGGTAGGTCAGATAAACGCTGCTGTAAGTTCATTGCCAATATATCTCGGAATCTCTTGTCTGTGAATGGATAAAGGTTACAAATATTGTTTACGACCCAAGTTAACAGAAAACAAAAGGGAAAAACAAAATAGTAAGTAGACAGAACCCGCGCTGCCGAAACTCCGTCCTCGAGACACCAACGGCAGAGCAGCACCAGCAGAACTGACGACCATTATTCGCTCCCACACCGCTAACCGATCAATCGATCGATCCATCGCCAGGCTGGCCTCCCCAGGCTCTCGGTCCTGGACCTGTTCGGGTCCATCCTCACCTGCCAGGCGTACCGCGGCATGGCCAAGTTTCCCAAGCACGCGGTGGAGACCCTGGTTGCGTGCTCGCTCATGCAGTTCGGTGAGTTGAGTGAGGCTGGCCCTCTTGGGTCTTCTGCAGGCAGGGAAGGGAACCGGGGCGGTTGGTGTGCGTGGTAGCTAGCCCCCGAGAGCTGCTTTGTGTGACATGTAGGTAGGTACATGTACGATCCCTCCCGAACACACACACACATTCGTTCGCCCCGTCCCCACACACACGAAAGCGTGTCTATCTAGCACGTGCTACGTGAGTGGACAGGCAAACGCCACTTTGCGTTTTTTTCGCACGTCCTTGGTCTGTTGGGGAAGTCGTAACCACTTTTGCCCCGATTGGATGATGGGCGTTCGATTTGGCGGCCGCAATGTGGAGCCCAAACCGATCGCATAGGCAGCCGAGCCATCTGCAGACACAACCAGCCCCCCCCCCCCCCCCCCCCCCCCCCCCCCCCCCCCCCCCCCCC